ATTCCCCAATTCCCACATTCCCCAATTCCCACATTCCCCAATTCCCTTATTCCCCAATTTCCACATTCCCCAATTCCAAATCCCACAAAATCCAAAACCCTTACATCCCAATATCCCAATTCCACATATCCCAATATCTACACATTGCAAATTCCTAAACTGACGGATCCCTTCCCACACCACACCAACCCTCCCTAGAGTCTCCAACCCCCAAATCTAAAAGTCCCTCAAAAGACCTCCACATCAAATAATCCCTGCACCATAAAATCTCTCCTTTTTATTACAAACTTGAAATAATATTAATGATAATATTCTGAACATCGGTTCTTCAAAATGAAATCTAGTGAGCATGTGGAAAGGTAGATAGACGTACGGCAGATAAGTTAGTTACGCGTTCATCGGAAGCGGAAATGCGAAGAACGAGCGGCGAGACGTTGGGTCAACGTTGAATGACCTGTGACCTTTCCGAAAGCGCAACTTTCATCGAACAGCAATATTCCACGAGCGAGCGTTAAAGCGAATTGGAGGGAAAGCGAGATGAAAGTGGGTAGAATTTTTAATCGAATACAAGGATATCATTTTTGGAAACAGTTTTTAAATGTCACCAGTCTGAATTTTATGTATCTTTTCTTGTTCTTTTTTTAGTATAGAACAACTTTCATGGGAATCGTGTTTATTTTTTGAAACTTTCTCTCTTCGGAATTCTTTCGGAAGATAGCACATTCAGATATGCCGTCTCTCGGGATACAGGAATAATATTTGTGCAAGGAGAAAGGATCGATGAGTCGCTTTAATTTTAATTAATTAACCGCGTCGATCAAACGAATCGTTTAAAAACCATCGAAAAATTTCTTTGCTGGACGCTTGATATTTTAACGTTTTACGATCGGGGCCGCTGCTTCGATTACTCGAAAGCTATTAACTCTTTGAATACCGTAGTTCGTAGTTATTAACTCTTTGAACACCGTACGATGTTCAACACTTTGCGCGTGCAATATCATTTTTTATATTGAACTTAATTAAACAAAGCCTCCGCTGTTTTTAATATCTATTATAATTTTATGAACCGGTGAAGTTCATCGTACTCGCACGATCAATGTATAATAAAGATTGAAAATTAATTAATTCCCGGATATAATAAACGTCAATTTGTTTTAATCGAAATTAATACATCGTAGCTGTTAAAAATGCTAAAACGCTTTGACGGTATGCTGCATCATAATTCAAAAATTATATATAACATCGAACGTCAAATATTTTATGAACAGTTTTCCGATGAAGATGTCTCCGCTTTCATTAGATCCGTATGAAATATCGAATTTCGAAAATGCGATACGATTCTATGACGCACATGTACACCAATTATAGCATAATTCGCAGTTTAAACTTTATTGAAAGGCACTGCGCGAATTCCTCGTTAGTATTCTCGATATAAAATTGTTTATCAAATAAAACTCGCTGAATATCTCGCTGTATATTCTGCAGAGCAAAGACAACAAAGGCAATGTTATTAGAGTAACGAGACAACTTTCCGACAACTAGCCAATTTGTATCAAAGACAACGACAACATTACTGCAGTAACGAGAAAACTTTCTAACAGTTTATATTAAAGACATTTATGACAAGTTTATGTAGCCATTTTCATTAAACTTTGAGCTTCAAATTGATACATCATGGCGGCCATTTTATCGTACTTTTATGTTCTCAAGATGTCTTATATTTTTTATGTCAGAAGTCTACAGCCAGTTGATTTTAATAATAATTTTAAATGCAGTCAGTGATAATTTACATAGCTTCAAGCTTCAAATTTTAATAATAATTTGAAGTTCCAGCTAATAATAATTTTACATAGTACTCAGTGATAATTTACATAACCTCAAGCTTCAAATTTTAATAATAATTTGAAGTACCAACTAATAATAATTTTAAATACCACTCAGTGGTAATTTACATAACCTCAAGCTTCAAATTTTAATAATAATTTGAAGTATCAATTAATAATAATTTTAAATACCACTCAGTGGTAATTTACATAACCTCAAACTTCAAATTGATACATCATAGCCGCCATTTTATCGTCCCTTCATATCCTCAAAATATATCAGTCTTCTAACACTTTTCACTTATCAGATCAAACTCTGCAACCAGTCAATAATTTCAAAAACCAGCTAATAATTTTAAACACCAATCTAATAATTTTAATAATAATTTTAAGTGTCAGTTAATTTCAAATAGAATCATTGCTAACAAACAGTAAATCAGAAGTTGCTACAAAATTCATCGAATTTCTCTGACTAATAAGATCAGCCGCGGTTCATGAATTTTATACACATTTAATAAACCCATGAATCCCCTGCTAATCGTCGCTCTTATCGGGATCCCCCCGATCAGATTGTCAGATAGCAATTCCGAGGCGTTCCATTCTCATTTAGTTGAATCGAAAGGGGATGGTTTTCCTGGAGGATGGTGGTTCGTCGGTTCTCCTTCCTTCCATCATTATTCCATGTCCTGACGGCGTCGTTCTTCCTACCCTTGTAATTTTTCATTCACCACGAATATTCCAGCCTGTGTCGTCGGCGCAGGAGAAAGAGCACCCTGTGTCTACGGTGTGAAAGCTAGACACTCGAAACATCCCTCAAAGATAAGTCCCGTGTGAATCAACGTTTTGTATTTTTCGCTTCCTCTTTTCTTTTCCTTTTATACCGTTTTGTTCCGCATATTTTGTCGCATCAAAATTCACAAACTTATTTTGGGGGATTTTGAGGAATTTAAGGAATTTTAGAGGTTGTGATTTTTAAGGGTTGGAGATTTAGAGATTTGGGAAATTGAGAACTTGAAATGTAGATGTCTAAAAATCCCAAAATTCGTTTACCTTGAAATTAACTTAGATTCCCCGAATCCTGAGAATTTTTAATTCCTGGTCCTGCAACCCTTAGATCTATAAACTCTCAGATCCTCCAAATCTCTATATCCCAATATCTTGAAATCTCTTTCCTCCCTTAAATTGTCAAACCCTTAAATTATTAGATCCCCAATTTGTCGAACCCTTAAATAATTAAATTCCCAAATTGTCAAACCCCTAAATTAAAGTCCCAAAATATCCAACCCCTAAATCCATCAACACCAGTACCTAAAAATATTCCATCAAAACAGTAATAAACTATCCTAAAATAAGTTGAAGACACGTGAAAGGAGTTGAAAGGTAAAGTAAGTCGAAAAGTACCTATCCGTAAACGCATCCGAAAGAAACGAAGTTTCGAGCGCAATATTAGCGTAACAAGGTTGATGCAACGGAGGATGTTTTCGACGATGCAAAACCGAGCATACGCGCGAGACTCCGGTAAACTCGTCACGCTCAATTTGCAGTATCGATCGCGTTTCCTAAAGGCATGTTCTGTAACGTGTCGATCGCCGGTAGTTGCAGGTCCGAGCAGGTTCGGTAAGTTACAACGATGGCGGAAAGCGAACGACAATCTCCTCGTTTCCTAAACGCCGTAGCTACTTCGTCTGTCGGTGCTCTCGAATCGGGAAATCGAGCGAATCTTACTTCCGAACGCGTCTTCTTCTGCCTCGATAGTTCCTGCAGACCTCCTGTCGTTCCACGGGATTTACACGAACGTTCCGCCACTGCTTTCCGAAACTTCGAGTTCCGTACCGAGTTTAGGTGTTACGTATTTGCTTCAGACAGATTCACACGAAATCCCGCGTTTATAGCTATTCGTAATACACTGCGATAAACTGCTAGATACTAGATTAATATATCCATTGCCGATTCTCTGCTTTGTTTTATTAACCCTCGGATGGAGCTGCTTTTGGCGTGCTACTTGTAAACTGCTCGAGGTTCAGAAACTATTTTGGAGTTGTTACTTCTCTATTAATTCCTACTATTTATTTTGCTATTTACATTATATAATTTTAGATTAAAAAATACATATTTGAAATTGCTGTAAGTATAAGAAAGTGAAAGTACACTTAAATTGAATGTAAGTGTGTTACATTTTTAGAGCTAAGGGTAGAAACTGATATACATATAAACTTACTTATTAGACAAGACACTAAATTAGTGAAATTAAAATCTATACAGTTTTAGATAAAAAATACACGTGTTAAATTGAATTGTAAGTGTGTT